CCATGGCCTCGGATCTGGTGAACTACGCGAGTCATATCACTCACGCCCTCATCTACTCGATCCTCACGCGCAGGAATATAGTCGTATATATACTCATATTGTGTCCGTCCGTCAGTTTGTTGAGACTCCTGCAGACCCGCAGAGATTTGACGCAAACGGATGGACACAAAAAACTACTCAAACCCAGGGTTCCGACGAGTTTGTGGTCAGAGTTGGTGTTGTTTCAGGAGAACGTACGGCGCTGTTGGCTGACCGGCTTCCTCGGCATTTCATTTATTTATGTCATGTCGTTGGGGTATCAGCAGCATGGTTATTTGTGATGTGTGAATTGATTTTTGCTGTTCACATTTTTCAAGATACCACACATTTATAAATGAATGCATTTTATGATCAACATTATTAATAAATAAAATTCAACTTATATTTAATATAATAATACGTGATTACCAAAAATCAATTAAATACCTTAAATATTTATTTGTACCGCAATTTCTAAAATAAATTTTAGAAAGTTTTAAATAGTCAAAATAAACTTTTAAAATATATTCAATAAAACAAAATAAATTAAACAGCAATTTAAACTAAACATTTTTAATCATATTTACTGTTATACTCTAATTAAAATTTTATTCAATTAATATTCCGAGAGAGAGAGAGAGAGAGAGAGAGAGAGAGAGCTATATTTAATTACTAACTTTAAATGTTATTGATCCTTTATCAAATATAATGTTTATTTGCACAAAAACTGGTCATTCGCTGATGTACTTGGTACGCCAACCGGTATTTATTAAAAAATGGACATCCTACATTAGTATTTTTTATATAAAAGAGTTGAGTAAAAATACCATTTATAATGAATTTTATGTAGACATTACAAATATTTTTATATTGATAACTTTTCTAACTCTGAATTCCGGGTGCTACAGGTCCTATAAAATGCATCTACAGATTGTTTTTAACTGATTGAACACAAATGTGTGAATGAGTATAAAGTATTGGAATTTTACCATGTACTCATTATCTCCTTGACTTGTTGATAATTTAAAATTGTGCCAGGTATTACCGTAATCAATTGACTCTTAGTTATTAATTACTTATTACTTTAGTGTAAAAGTACAGCGAACTTAAGAGAATCAAATAAATGTTTATGTTATTTAATAATATAATCTCGGAAAATTAACTAGTAAAATAAAAATGGCAACTCATTACCTGGATCAACTGGACAATGACACAGATTGTAAAGAAACGTTAAATCATAATAAGAAAAATGGCATCAAAAGTGATAAACAAGTTGTTGTCACACAAGACATGTATTTCTCATCAAAAGTATATAAACCTCAGGAATCCATGCTCACGTAAGTCTTGCAAATAAATTATAAAATTAATTTAAATATTTTTGGTTTAAACCTTAGGATATTGATTAGAGACTCGGACCACATTAAGACATTATATGATCTCATATTCTTGATAACACATCTCATGATTTTCTATAAACTTGGTTATTATTATAAAAATAATTTGTATGTATTGGATTAATACTTTTTTAAATAACAAATAATAACTTAATTTAAATTATAAATTTCAAGATTGCGAAAAGAGTACGAAATATTTGTATCCGGTTTCGATAACTTTCCATACATTTTAACACGATGGCTTAAATACCACATTGATTTGGTGTTCATATATTTGCCAATTAACATATTGAGACTCAAACTACTTAAAACACACCAACAAACTTATATCATAAACAACTTGTTATTAAACCTAATGAATGCACTTATTTGTATTGACTTTTATCTTGATGTCCAAGAGTTTATGAAAATTGATATTGGATTTACCTGTACAATTGCACTATTAATGGAAAGGGTAAAAAATAATTTTCTAGTTAAATATAAATATTCACCAAATATACTATATTCACAGATCCGTTTATTTTTGAAGTTATACTCATATTCTGTGGAAACCCTATCCATTAGCAAACACCGGACAACACAACTGAACTTTTTTGATGACTATAAGCGAGAAGTGTCTAAATTTGTATACTTTCTGTTTTGCCCCGTTTTATTATATCGAGAGGAATATCCCAGGTTTGTTTAACTATTGACCAGGATTATTATTATGATAACTAATTACATTATTATGATAGATCAAAATCCATTCGATGGTTTCAAGTGTTTAAGTATTCATACGAATTCCTACTGAGCATTGCATTTGAGATACTGCTAATCAAACCCTTTTATTTGGATGTCGTGTTCACCCCATGGTATGTCCACACTGACATATTACCCAGTTACCTACCGCTGCTCACCATAGGCGTGGCGTGCAGTTTACTCTGGCTATTCAAGTTTTTCTACGAGTTCTATCAGGTGTGGTCTAACCTAATGGCCGAACTGTTAACCTTCGAGGACAGACACTTTTACGGCCAATTCTGGACCGCCGGGAATGAGCACGAATTCTATCGCCAGTGGAACTACATTGTACAGGACTGGCTGTATTACTACATCTACGTGCCGGTGCACCGCTACACCCGCACGAAGGCCAGGGCGGCCGACGCTGTAATATATTCAAGTCATTTGGTGCACGCAATCATATACACGATACTCACGAAGAGGTCGTTCGCGCTCTTCTGCTCTTTCCTCTTCGCGTCAGTCATTATCCCGCGACTCATACGACGACTACTTTCACTCAAACATCGGTCGATAGACCGGGAGATCCGCATGAAGATCAGGGAGGATAAGGGGAATGACATGAATTGTATCGCAAAGATGTTCACGTTTTGCCTCAATTTGCTTCGTTGGTATGGCGTCGGGGGTTTAGGCGTACTCTTCGTCTACACCATTGCTATGAGTTATTTCAGGCGTTATTTAAGTTGATCTCACTTTCATCAATAGTCAACACAAACTGTTTTAATGGTATTTAAGAAAGATTTGTATTAAATCTAATTAAACTAATATTAGAGTTGTAGTAATTAATATTTACAATACACAATCAAATAAAATTTATAATTATTTAAAATCTTTTATTGTTTCAATTATTCCTTAAAATTTAATACAAAGACAAAAAGCAGTTTAACAGTAATGGAAATTAAGCATCCAAATTTATTTTACTAAAATTTATATAGACTATATGTAGTAGAAATTGTACAATAAATTTATAATAACAATAAGCAATAAATTCAGTCATATAATGATTTACCAGTATGAATCAGATATATAATGAAAGTTAGAAAATAATAATTTACAAAACACGCGCATAAAAATAGCAAATCCAGAAAAAGCTAGAATTACACACAGTTCCTACCAAAGTGTCGAGATAATTTTTTGAGATACTCTCCATATTATTTTGTTCATTACAACTAGCCATATCCTTTTTCTTTTGTACATAACTTTTGGGAGCATATTTACGATCGTGTACTAGATTCAATTTCTCGAGTATGTCCAACAAAAATCCCGGAATATTCATATTATATCTCCAGTCATATTCCGATGCATTGGAATCGTAGGGAAACCTTAAGAAAATAATTATAAATTTAAATTTAAATGAAGTTATGTAAACATTATTGACAAATATGCATACGTGTGGTGAAAGTTATGATATCCTTCTCCTAATGAAAAATAAGTGACAAAACGGCTTTCTCGGGGATCTATTACTTTATCGTATGGCCTTTATAGTAAACAAGTGGTCANAATTTAAATGAAGTTATGTAAACATTATTGACAAATATGCATACGTGTGGTGAAAGTTATGATATCCTTCTCCTAATGAAAAATAAGTGACAAAACGGCTTTCTCGGGGATCTATTACTTTATCGTATGGCCTTTATAGTAAACAAGTGGTCAATCAATTTATTAAATATATAATCAATTTAGTATTTGCTTATTTGCAAACCTTAATCCATGCATATGTGCCACTGAATTGACCAAGAATCCGCAATGAAGTCCGTAAACAAACCGAAATATGTTAGCAATGACTGCATTAATAAAGCTTTCATCCCATAAAAGCATTGGTACGACCACGGGCATTACCATATATGTGCCACTGAATTGACCAAGAATCCGCAATGAAGTCCGTAAACAAACCGAAATATGTTAGCAATGACTGCATTAATAAAGCTTTCATCCCATAAAAGCATTGGTACGACCACGGGCATTACCATACCAATCAGTAATGTCTAGGGATATATGAATACTTTATAAAATAATTATTACAATCGGTACAAAATACACTTGCTTATACTGTATTAAATACAATAAGCATATTAAATAATAAATTTAAGTTATTAATAATAGTTTATTTTTAAATAATTTAATAACTCTAAACTACAACTTACTAGTTAGTTTATTTATGATATAAATACTGCACAACATTATGTTACGATTAACTAACGGTAATGATAAAATGGTAGCATACCAAAATGGCAATGTGCTTTCTTTGAAACATGACAATTGGATCATTTCTAAGGTCAGTCAGGTCAATCTGTTTGCTTTTCTCAATGAGCTCCGGGTGTTTGTGGTAAAATAGCCAACTTATGTGCGAGAATAGGAATCCCCGTTTGGAGTTGTGTGGGTCGGCGTCTGTTTCCGAGTACTTGTGATGCATTCGGTGGTCACGACTCCAGTGAAAAATACTTCTTTGCATAGCTATGGTCTGGAATATCATGAGTACTGTCTCTACAGACCAGTGGGCTTTGTACGAGCGATGGGTCCACAGGCGGTGGGCGCCCATCAGTATTCCCAAACCGGCCGCGACGGCCATGACATACGTCCAGATGTAAGTCATGGGACGCATACTTCTGAGACAATAAAACCATCCGCAGATTCCTATGATATGTGCTAACGTTAACACTATAAGTGGCGACCACTCTAGCCTTTGCCTATATTTAGTTTTATCTTTTTCTATACTTTCCATTTATCTACTAATAATAAACTGATGTACAGTATTAAGAAATTGTTTAATTATATTAATATAATTATTCAAATATCAGTATTCAAATTAAACAAATAGTATTCAAAGTTAACGCATTCATATAATAAATTAATATGTAGAGCAAATGAGTTTATGTTATTTATACAAG